TTTTAATCAATCTAAAAATTATTTTAAAATATATACAAATTATAGTATCAATATATTGTCAAACTATAAATAATATATAGTATAACGGTGCTAATTGAAGGAAAATGATTAATTTAACTTAATGAAATATAAATAATATTTTATACAATAATACAATACACTACGATAAAAAATATGCAATACATTAAAGTTAAACGGAAGGTACAATGCACTACAACCAAACTAAATGAATTTTTATTATCCCACATCGAAAGTTCACAACAAAATTCTTGGAGATGACCACTATAAATTAGGTAAGTGCAATCAGACTTTGGTCGGCTAATGGGCTAAAAATAAAATATTTTTATTCTTTTGGGCCACCGATTTTGGAAGTGGGCTTGGACAGCCCAGGGCTGCCCTCCCCCGGATTTGCCTCTGTCTAGGCATATTGATGGGCATTCTTCGATTGAGGATGGAGAGGCATTGGCACTCCATGAGGGTCTTCTCTTACGTAATGATTACCTGAATAAGGATCTCGAAGGCAAATCGAGGAATTTGAATTTATTCCTAACATTTTGGTCCCTAAGAAATAGTATACATGCCTCTCTTCCTTAAATTGATAAGGATTACATGTTTCATTCAAGTTGAACTCTTCAAATGCGTCAGGGTTATCACCTTATATAGAAACACCCGCCTTGAAAGTCAACCACGAAATTTTCCAAACATCATAATCAAACTTGGCTAACATATATTAATCTAACAAATGAGTCAATGGAAATCGACTAACAAATTTATTAAACTAATAAATTTTATCTTGGATAAAATAAGTAATTTTATTAAAAGTGGGGGAACGATTCGATTTGATTTCAAGTGATTTTCAACCATCAAAACCTAAAATTGATCCATTTCCAAATGGTTTGTTCATTTTTAAAATGGTCGAAACTTAATCACGTGAATCCAAACCACTAATTTTGTAGTTGCAATTTCTATACGATTTAGAAGGTTGACAATTTTTTTTGTTCACGCCTATACAATTTATAATATATGCTTCTAATATTTGTAGACTATCTAATCAGGGACTGATCCAGGATCGGATTACAAGTCGGGCTAATACGTTAAAAAAAAAAAAATTTACATAATTTTTTTTCTACTAAAAAATTGAATGTGCTGGGGGCATGGACCGGGCTACAGAGATCCGTCAGTGTCTCTAATGCACAATGGGGTTCTCAGAACGTGCAATACTAAAATCAAGGATGGTATTTTGTTAACTTTCTACCTTTCTTAACTTGAAATCTGTTGTCTAATTTGGTGGGTTAGTAATGAAGATTAATTTGAGAATACATGTTAATATAAAAATGATATGTCAATAATTAATTGGATAAACAGCAAAAATTGGACAGTAGATCTCAACTCCTTAACAATCGGGTCCCCAACGTTTCACTTTCATAGCAATTGAGTCCCTGGCGAACAACTTTCATCTATTTGACAATTAAAAAGTTGTGCAAGACACGAGAAACACCTTGCTTGAGTGGTGAAAATTGGTAAACACAGAATTTCAATGGAAAAAATTCAAAAACGAGAGAAGAAGAAAAATAGCAACCCACGTTGCTTCCATCCCCGGCTCTCCCATCGCCCACTAGATTCCCTCCATTTCCCCTCATCCTGCCCATTCTGCAATTCCCACCGGCGGGTTCCCCCACCCTTTCAACACTCCACCTAGTGGGGTTAGGCATTTTATACTGAAATTAATAGATGGAACTGGCCAATCATTAACATCGGAGTACTTAGATCACCAGGTTTTTTGTCACGCACGTACATGGTTGGGATGTTGGATATATAGATATTGACACAATTAGTGGTTGGGATGTTGGATATATAGATATTGACACAATTAGAAGTATTTTCACAATTAAGGATTCATAAATAGCTCGACATGTCATACAAGCAAGGTTCTGAAATGCGTAATGTGCAGTAATGCATTTCGATCGAGTATCAAACATTACAAGAATATGCGTGCCTACACGAAGCATATACGTAATTATGTGTTTTCTAATTTTTAGTATAATTTTAAATATTCTAAACTAATAAATAAATAAAATAATGTTTTCTTTAAACGTTATACACATTTTTCAAATTTTAGAAAAAAATATTGCTCAAAATTATAAATACTACAATTACTTGAACTTTATACATATTATTGAAATATTTAGTAAAAACATAATACTCGAAATTATAAATACTACAATTATTTGGTAATCATTCCTGCAATTAAATTAGACATGAATATCGACCTTTAAAAAATCATAAATATTGTCTAACTTTTTATCGGATTTCAATTCAAACTCATATTCATTCAATTCATCTTTCTTGTCATCCAATGTAAAGACTAGGGGTGTAAGCGGTTCGATTTTATTGATTTTTGACAAATTTTCAAATCAAACCGTTTAAATCGATTTGAGAAAAACTCAAAC